ATTTAGACAAAAAGGTTCTTCTATGGTATCGTGAAGCACCTTTATTTTTAAGAGTGTAATTGAACTATTGCCTAGTCCTGGCTTAGTCTAAGCCCTGTCTGTGAACCCGGGCCATAGAGTATGGCTTCAATTTCAATAAATGAAGAATTACAGTATAAAACAGTGCTGGTCTTATATATTTATTCTGCGGGGGCTTCGGTGGAGGAATGGGCGTCAGTCTCAGCTTTAAGGAGCCGAGGGGCCGTGTATGAGCGATTAAAGACGCTTTAGTCATTCCTCTACAGACCGACTGTGCGCTGTATGAGAGAGGCAGACGGATGAGGAGGCCAGCGAGCTGTGATAAAGGCCGGGACACTTTCATTATTGCTTTGACCCGAGGGGTCAGACGGCTCTCGCCGCTGGAGAACTAGCCATTAGCCGGCTCTCCATCACCACACGCCTCGCGCTGGATGTGATTTATTCGCACCGAGCTGAAAATGAGCCGAATCAATGGCACTGGAGCCACCGTACAGCGATGTCTCCCTGTCCTTCCCATGATTCTCATTCCTGAGAAAGCTCCATTATGTGTGAAGACTGATAATGAAGAACAAACACGTTACGTTTTACTCTCATCACTGAAAATAAAAAGTGCAATAATGAAGAAACTTTGACATCAAACCTGAATTCTGACAGCAGAATGTTGTTTATACACATCAGACACAATGTTACAATACTGTGGGTGGTTGCTATGCGGTTGCTAAGGTGTTGCTTCCTGTCTGGCTTCTCCTTCAGTGTGCACGATGTCTTGATGTTTCCAGCTGCACTTTAAACATCTGGTGTAGGACTTACCTTGAAACCATTTTCACTCAGAAATTACATTTACATTAGCAACTAGACAGCCTAATCTAATAATATTTGAATATCATTTTTGCACTTATACTATTAGTTCTTGTACAAACTATTATTATTAGAATTCTCATGGTTTAAGAAAATGTAAGGAGTTATCTGAAGAAGGGAACACAATACACCAGTATAGTCTCTAAATGTAAATGTCTTGTATTAGCAACACTTTGTGTGTGCAAATGTGAAAATACAACTTCTAACAGATATCCACTACTTTATAGTTTATTTGACAAAAAACAAATGTACAGAAATCATTTTTACTGCACCTTATGCTGTTCTTCCTTAGTATTTTTGTCTTGTTTTCATGTGCAAATGTCTAAAGATTATTCAGTCAAAATACATTTACTGGAGAAGCAAAACGACATTCCAGGGGGAAACAACTTTTCATAACCATTGACAGTTAACTGTTCTTGTTTTAATCATAAAACAAGACTTTATATGTTCATTTTGTATCTCCAGAAAATGTGTCTTGATTTAAGGATGTTTAGATATTTGTACTGAAAAACAACAAAAATACTGAGGAAGAGATTCATTTTCACATCCAGTGTCATGACTTTATTAATTTAGACCTTCAGATGAAGACCTTTTAAGGCCTTGCTTTGTAAAAACAAAAACATTTGTAAAGACCTTTGACAGAGCTGCAGAAACCCCGATCTCAGTGTGTGACATTGACAAACACTCACACACACACACATACATACACATACACACACACACACATACACACACATACACACACACTCACACACACACACACACACACACTCTCACACACACACATACATACACATACACACACACACACATACACACACACACTCACACACACACATATACATACACACACACACACACACACACACACCTCTCTCTCTGACACTCACACACACACACACACACACACACCTCTCTCTGACACTCTCACACACACACACACACACACACACACGCCTCTCTCTCTGACACTCTCACTCACTCACTCACTCACACACACACACACACACCTCTCTCTCTCACACACACGGCGGACAGCGCTATTGATCAACATGTGGAGGTAAGCACCTGATCGATACACAGCGCCGTGGGTCTCCAGCGCTTGTTTACGCCGCACTGTTACGAGACGCAGATCCAGAGCCTCTCTGAGACCTTGTTGAAAACTGGGGTGACTGTAATGTAGTTTCCAGTTAGCTTGGGTTCCCCTGTGCAGCGCTGCGGTTTCAGACCTGCGAGAGAAAAACACACTTCAATCAGCATGACGTCTGTCCTGCATTACAGCCCATTCAGGACCAGAAAGCACCAAACACAGTCCGTTCTGTTCTGTGTTTCCGCAGGCCTGATGAGAGAGGCCTGTTTAACATCTAAGGAGTAAATTGAATGGAACACATTTGTCAATATGGTCTCTAAATGTAAATGTCTTGTATTAGCAACACTTCAAAATCTGAAAATAAAACTGCTACTGCGTTTTCTGCTCAGACTGCAAAAAAAGTGAATCTCTTCCTCAGTATTTTGATTTGTTTTCAGTACCAATATCTAAACATCCTTAAATCAAGATACATTTACTGGAGATGCAAAATGAAGTCTTGTTTTCTGACAAATCTATCAAATGCCCCGCTGACAGACAGAGATAGAGAAGAGTTTGCAGTGCATGCACAAATGAATGCCAAGACGTTATGAATTTAAGACTTCCTGCTCTGATTTCAGACCTTTTTAGGCCTTACTTTGTGGAAGAGTGAATTCAGAGCAGCAGAACTCTTTTGTGTCATTCTGAGCAGATAAACCTGAGATGAAAGCACAGTAATGGAGAAACCTGATCACCGACGTCAGTTCC